TTGGGGTACCCCAAGAAACATGGGGTTAGAAGCCACAGAGCCCCCTGGAGCAGCCCCAGCCAGGCCTCACTTCTCGCCACGTCTGCTGTCTGGCACATGCCTGCACCAGTTCCTGCCCAAATGGGTGGTGCAGGGTACCCACCAGCTGCCACGGGTGCTGCAGCCCCCTCCACCTCTCTCCTGCTCAGGGACCCATCATTGCAGCTGCCTCTCGCTGGGGCTGGTCACCTGTCTAGAACTGCCAGCCAGGGGAAACTGTGAGCTGTGGCTCAATGAAAAATGAACTCTCTGTGCTTTGTCAGCGTGGCTGCGTGGAAGCCCCCACCCCTGGAAGCCTGGTGCTATCATGATGAATGAGGGCTCAGGTCAGAGGGCTCCAAGCCCTGGGCAGACACCTCGTTTATTTAGCCTCTGAAACTGCAGAAGAACAGCGCTGCAGGATTCCGCATCACACTGGGGCACGTGGCCATTAGTCCCTGGCACAGACAGCAGTGGCCAAAACTTTGTGTGGCTGAGCAAGGAGACCTGGGTCAGCCGGGAGGCACCAGGGCATGTGTCTGAGTGATCATGACGTCCTCCAGGAAGGGAGGCCAAGGCTGAGGAGTGTGGTGTGTGTCTTATGGCCCTGGTTGGTGATAGGAGCCAGGGGGAGACAGGCCTGGAGCCCAAGTCAGACCAGCCCTGATCTGCAGGGGACAGCTGAGGCAGGGACTGAAAGGACACAGTCACCGAGGCCTGCACACAGACACAGCAAACCGCCAAGGCCAGGGCTGGTCCAGAGGTGCCTCCTGCTTGTCCCCAGAAAGGGCTTGTAAATCCATTGTGTTCGGATGATAATACAAGTTCAACAAACAAAACAGAAAGGAGTGAGGCTCCCGGGAGGAGGCCCGTGGCAGCCTGTGTGTCTCCCTGGAGCCTCCTCTCAAGTCATCCCCACTGCAAGAGCCCACGGTGCCCCCGAGAGGCGGGGCTGCCCCTGTTCCTCAAGCGTGCACAGCCCATGTGCAGCACCCAGCGTGCGGACCCCGCATCCTCCCTGCAGAGCCCTGGCTGCA